CAGGACGACCCCCAAGACGCCTTCCGAGCTCCGTCCCCAAATCGTAGCACTGTGCAAAGCCCTCGACCTCGACCCTGCGACACCTACCGTCCTCGCCCGCCTGCGCGCCCTCCCTTGGCGCGCGCTCACGCACGTCATCGAGACCGACGCAGTCGGGCCCGCCTTCGGCTCCTTCCGCGGTGCACTCGACGGCGCGTGGCTCGCAGGGACACCAGACCCAATGACCTGGCAGCGCTCGGGCGCGCTCGCTCGGGGCCTCCGCGCGCGGGGCGTGCGCAGCGTCGTACTCGGCGACCTCACGGAGGAGTGGTACCTCTACAGCATCGCGCACCTCGTGCGCGCGCCGCAGGACGTGCGCGACAACGTGCGCCGGTACTACCCCGACCACATTGCGGACAAGATGCTCGCGTGCTACTCGCCGCTGAGGGAGGGCGCGCATGTGGAGGAGATGGAGCGGTATATGGGCGAGGTCCTTGCGGATGGCCAGGTCCACTTCCCCGTGAGGCTGCTGGCGCGGGACCTGCAGAATGCGGGGTTTCCGGTGCTCCGGTATGAGATACGTTGGACGCCGGAGCAGGTCCGACCATTCGGTGAGTGCAGAGACCACTCTTCAGTTCTTCATACGAACATATGTGTGCAAGGCTATGTGACCCACGGCACAGACCGGTTCCTCTGGACCCTGCGCTTGCCGGCGCTGAAGGGTGCGCAGATCATTGCTGCACGCACGTGGCTCGACGTGATCGACGCGGAGACAAAGGCACTCGAGGCGGGGTTGAACGCAAACGCGCGGGACCCGAGAAAGGTGCTGGCGCTGCGGGAGGATAGGGCCGTCGCATGGCAAGAGGACGAGAAATGGGACCACCTCATGCGCTTGCGGGTAGCAATCCCGACGGAGAACGAGCCCGTGGCTGGTAAACTGTAGTGATCTTTGGTTGCATTGGTTGGTGTATAGTAGGCCGTCGAATGGCTCCGTGCTCCGTAGTATATCTTGCCACTTGTATCACATCTTAGGGCAATAATTCAGGTCATAAGGATCGACCATAACTTGACCCAACATTTTGAAAACATCCCGAGATATCAGGTTAAGATTGATTCCTCTTCCTCCTCTTCCTCAGACTTTCTAGAAACGCATAGGTTGCCCAGGGAGTGCCACGCCACCTCCAGCGTAGAGTTTCGATGGGAGCAGGTCAGTTGTAACGAGCTGTCTAGGCCGAATGATAAGCTGTGGGTAACGGAGCCAATCTACGGGCTACACGATACAGGGGTATTGTCAAGGAAGAGAGATATACAGTAAGCAAGTCCGAGAGCAAGTCCGGTAGTGTTTTACAGATTATGCGGGATGGGGTACTGGCGATGAGGAGAACTCTATGCGCTCGACGAGGAAGGCCGCAGTCATCAGCGACGACAAGACAAGCATGAGTGAACTGGCGGTGAGGACGGTGTAGCGAGCGGAGGAGACGCCGGTGAGGAGGGAAACGACGACAAAAATATTGAGCGGCACGCGGAACAAGGACGAGAGCTATCCCCATTCAGCATGCGAGATGAATCCAGGATGGAGAAGAGGCTTACCGTAGCACGATGCTCATTGGAGATCAGCGACCCACGCAGCATGCCCTGGATCGGGTAATACATGCCCACACACGCCTCGAACGTGCAGAATGCCCAGAAACGCACGCGCTCGTCCGTGCTCTCCACGCTCACCGCGAACGCGACCGCGCTCACCGCGCACACGAGCGAGCTGAGCTTCGCGTGCAGCGTCAGCGGCGCGTCGAGCGGATCGTGCTCCCCGCGCGAGAATAGCGACACGAGGGATGTGTACAAGAGCGAACCGATCATCATGCTGACCATGAACGCGGAGAAGATGTATCCGAGCGGCAGGACGGTGTCCGGGCGCGCGGCCTCCTGTAGCGCAGGGACCCAGTTGAAGACGAAGAGGTACATGGAGCCCTCGAAGCATGTTTGTGTCAGGCCAATGACGAGTAGCGGTGGTTCTGGCAGATCGTCTGAGTACGAGATACTGCGCTATGAGATCATGGTGTAGACACACCATTGCAAACGATTTTGAACGCTTGGCGGAGGCGCCTCAGCTGTAGTGGATCTGCACTCACAGCCGCTCCACCCCCACTGCCGTAATTCTCAGTCCAAGACCCTCGGATGACAACCCATGCGATGAGGAGTAGAACGCCGCTAGCGACAAATGGCGACGCAAACGAGCCCGTTGAGCCGACCAGCTGGTTACTAGCAACCCCGGCGCCGGCGGCAACAAAACCGTTGACTAGAGATGCACGACCCATGACTGTGGAGAGGTCTTGAGCCGGCAGGGCGAGCGAGTTTGACGCCGAGATGAGCCAAGACTCGAAGACAGAGAACAAGATGGAGGTAGAGACACCGCCGAGGAAGCGGCCGAGGATGAGTACGGGAAAGTAGGGTAGTTGTAACAGAGCACAGGCGAGCGCATATGTTATGCAGAACGTTAGGCAGAGCTTGCGCCGACCGCTGCATACATCGCTCACCACACGATCACAGCCAATGCAACATGTCATACGCACTATTGATCCGCCCATACGCCAACCAAGGGCGCGGCTAGTCCGGCTGTCATGAATCCAGTGACGAAGAGCAGGGCAACGAGGCGTTCCGGGAAGGCATATTGTTCCTTGTACAGGGAGTAGATATACGGTCCCTGCAGCCAGTCCGCGCCTGCATGTCATTCAAACTATTAGGCACAACTCACACACGACTGCGAGCTGATAAACGTACCCATGACTATCGCGTAGACCGTGAGGTACTGCTTTGAGAGCTTGCGCAGTGCCGGAGTCGGCGCATGCTCGTCATGCAAGTGCACACCTTGTTTTCTTCTCGGCGACAACCAGCGTTCGACAACGATGGAGAAGAAGCATAACGCGACGAGGCACACGAGTTGAAACCCGTAGAAAGTGAGCGCCATCCTAGATGAAGCTGCCACTGATGACTGCTGTTACAGGTGCCGGACCTACAGAAACTAGATCACCGACAAGAGAGTATGATTTAAAGGAGCGAGATGGTATGCCTAAGGTTGGTGGGACGGTTGCAAGTCGGATGGCGATACTTCCGGCTTGCAGTAAGTTAGTCGCACAGGCTTTGCTCCACTCCGAAGCGCCCTCATTTCCGGGTACGTTCCGCGTATCGGCTGTTGTGTGAAGAATTTGCAGCGCATTGCACCATGTAGCCATGGATGGCCCGCATGAGAGGGGACGAGAAGGATACACCCGCACGCCTCCGTAAGTAACGACTTTGTTTACACTGCTTATCAGTAGCATACTACTTTACTAAACGAGTACTAAGTCTGGTAACGACGTTGCCGCGGCTGCATGCACTAACGTGACAGTACGCTCCTCTTCAGCGGGGTCACGTCCATGACTCGGTACAGTTCAATTTCCTCCATATGGTTTCTGGCGAGATGATGATACTGGGATCTTGGCACTATGTACTTAGAAAGTTGCCATAGCCTCCAGACCTTGCCGTTGAGACGGCTCACTTAGTCTTCGGCTGCCTGCCGACGGTACCCCGACCAACGAAACCCCACTCAATCTGATGCGACTGTGTCACCGTCACCCCGAGCTCTTCCGCGAACGCCCACACCGTACCGGGGTTCTTCTGGAACTGCCGCCCCACAAACACGACGTCCGCAGCGCCCTCGTCGAGCACACCCTGTGCAAGTGTGCCGGTCGTGATTGAGCCCACTGTGCTCACGAGGATCTTGTCCCCATGCGCCTTGCGCACTGCCGCAGATAACGGGACTTGCATCGGCTTGTTGGGTGAGAGCACCTGGAACTTCTGTGCCGGGTGGACCCCGCCGGAGGAGACATCGATTAGATCGACGCCGTGCCGAGGACCTCGGTGAGCTTGACGGTGGGGTCGAGATCCCAGCGCTCATTCGGGTGCGTCTCGTCTAGCCAGTCGGTCGCAGAGACACTGGAGACGAGTCAAATGCATTCACCTGGCCAGGGATCAGTGAGAGACATACCGGACGAAGAGGGGCATCGTAGGCGGAATTGCAGCGCGAATGCCATCTACAACCTCCACGAGCAAGCAGATGCGGTTCTCGAAGCTCCCTCCGTACTCGTCTGTCCGGTGGTTGGCCACCGGCGCGAGGAACTCACTGATGAGGTACCCATGGGCAGCATGGATCTCTATCACGTCAAAGCCTGCACGCAAGCTCCTCTTCACCGCGTTGACAAACGCGGTCCTCACACGCTCGATGCCCTCCTTCGTCAGCTCCTTGGGCACCGGGAACTGCTCGCTGAACGGGATCGGCGACGGGCCCCAGACGTCTTCCGGCCAGCCGCCATCGGCGACTGGTGCAGAGAGCCCGGTGTGAAGCCACGGCGCGACCCCCGACGCCTTTCGCCCCGCGTGCCCCAGCTGGATGCCAATCTTCTGGTTCTGCGCGTGCGCGAACTGCACGATCTCGCGCCATGCTTCCGTCTGCTCGTCATTCCAGATGCCTGCATCTTGTGGGTTGCCAAGCTCGCTTGTATAGTGATTGTCGCGGGATCGATAGTGCGCCATGGTTATGGTTGTGTGCCGCGAACCGGATAGCATGAGCTTGGCAATTATTCATGCCCAGCAACTTCTCTGGATATGTCAGCGGCCCAAAGGATTGTGTTACTCAGCGAAATTCGCGAGGGTGGCACCCGCACTTCTACCTGGGAGACCATACGACTCTCCCTGTATTCGTCCTACAATTCACAGGGGAGGCGATGGATGCCGTCAGAACCACGAGAAGTCGCCGTCGACTCGATGGGCGAGCACGCGGATAGAAGCCTGGAATGTTGAGATGAGTGCAGAAATGACGCCAGGGTCAAGTCCGGTTGTCCCATCATTATTATCCCCTCCTGGGATCGAGATCACTGAAAATCAGTCCCTCGCCGAACATGGCCAACAACCTTGGTTAGGAGGATGAGGAGAAGTTGGGTCCAGGTAGCACAATCTTTGAGCAAAAGGTGACAAAACTAAACTCTAGCCCACCGCGAGGGTTGAACTTGCAGCCTTCAGATATGATTGGAATAAGAGTCTGACACTCTATCCGATTGAGCTAGGCAGGCTATGTGAGTTGTCGGAATATTGACAGCTGACCATTGATAAGAAATCGCCCTGCCAATTGACCATGGCCGTGTACGGTGGGCATCATCCAGCCATTTCCACCACACTGAAAGTTCTCTGACGACAGCCCTCCCTTTCAGCGTGCCAGTACCACCGGGCCGGCAAAACCCTTGACGACGGCTTCCCAATGATACAGTGAGCCTTCTGCAATCAGCCAGTCCGTGTTCTACCAGTGCGTGCTAGGAATCAAACTGAGTCTTGACAAGTATTGCTCTGCCCAACCGTTGTGAAGTCCGTATACGCACTTTGGGGGGCAATGCAATGCGAAGGCGCGTGATCTACCAATATACAGGTTGGGTTACTTGACATACCCGCAACGTGGTGCTATGTGGAGGGAAGATGTCACTCTGCACGGCTAAGGCGTCCAGGTTGCCAGTCGAGAAGGTACGATTGATGTTGCAATTGCCTGCCGTGCACTATCTACCGTATGGTTGCAATTATCCACTGGCATCAGCCTGCCACTGTGAGCGGTTGTCGACTTCTTTGCGCGATCCACGTCGACGTCTTCGGATGACCAGTCACTTCGCAAATGGTTCGAAGCGATTATAAAGTGTGTAGTTCCCGGATAGACCAGCTCGTCTTTCCTTTGCCTACCAGCCGTCTCTCTGACCATGTCGCACAACACACGCGCCAGTGAGCACGCAGCTACTAGCCCCAAGGGGAAAGGGAAAGCAGTGCATACAAGACTTGTGCGCTTCCAGGTCGACATTGACGATAATCAGACGAGGAACACCGACTCGTACGACCTCCCGGGTGGTGAGTAGACGCACGATAGGGTATTCGTGCATGGCCTGACTTGCTCGACTCTGATACCCAAGCATCCGAGTTCGCGCTAGACCAACCCATCGACTCGGACCACGAAGCCGCGTTCGATTCATTGCCAGACCTTGTGGCGCGTGTCGCTCATCTCCGAGCGCAGGTAAACCATCTCTCCCGAGCGCAAACCACGACCAAAGTCCTACCTCCGCAGGACCTACGCAGCGCGAAGGACGCGTTACGGTCCGCTTTGCAGGGCGTGCAGAGCGTGGAGGAGGTAACGGCGCGCATGAAAGGCAACGACGCGAGGATATCAAGGATGGAGAAGAAGTTGCTCGCGATGAAGCAGAGGCGATAGGATGGTCGCGGTGGACATAGAAAGAGGCAATATAAATGTGCACGGACTGCTTGAACCACAGATTTCAGGTTTGCATGGCTTTGAATGTGCACGGCGCATTGTTGCAAGTATGTGCTCCGTAAATGCCAAGCAGCCCATACCTTCATGAACGATACTTGCGCTCGTACCAAGCCATGGGCATACCTTAACTTTGCCGACAACCAACGGACACATCAAGCAACCGTATTCCGACATTCTATGGATGGCATTACTTTTGTTGGACGTATAACATACGAGTCGTGAAGCGTGTACAACATGGAAGGGCGAACGTGTAGAAGCGTAAAAGTCGAAGTAGGAGATGCAGAGGGTACGTGAAGCAGGCCAGTCAATGCGCGCAAGCTAACAATCGTAGCAGGAGATGGGTGTCGAGGGTAACGCGGGCACACAGGGTATAGTTTAAGACTCCAACGGATATGAAGGATGACACCAATTCCTAGCAACGACAGGCAACCTGCGGTAACGACCTACATCTATGCAGCCTGGCGCGACGGGTTGCGCGCGAGCGTCGCACCCGCACGCTGGGCCTGAATGCTGCTGAAGCGCTGCAGTTCCTCTGGCTTCATCGAGATCTTCTGCCCGAACCCAACCTTGCGCGCGGCACGGCGGATGAACGACACACGGTTCTTGTAGAGCGACTCGTGCACAGACGCGGCGCGGGACTGCGTGCGCGTCATCGGGACACCGGATGACTGGGCGATGGTGTTCTGGGCCATTTCGCGGTTATGGCGCTCGCGGAGCCTCTTGATGATAGTCGCCTTCATCGCGAACTTGATCCAGTCGAGCGGGACGAACCAGATGATGTCCTGCGCGCAAGATATCAGCGAGTGCGTGCACTGCGATGTAGAAGGGAACACGTACCCAAACCCAGACGATACCAACCCAACCACCCGAGATACCGTGAATATCAGTGAAGCCCCAGTTGGCGTACACGGCGATGATCGACGAGACGAGCTGAGCAAGGCAGAACGCGGAGAAGAGGGCCACCGACGGACGCTCCATGAAAAAGAATCCGTGCGAACGCGTGACGAAGATGAGGGCCTGCGAGATGATGGCAACCTGGAGGTAGACGATCGAATGAAGACAGCGGTCGTTGTGGTTCGTCGCCTGGATCGCGCCGTTCTCGAAGACGACACCGAACTTGTCGTAGAAGAAAGTCGTCTTGATGCAGATGGCGACGAGGGCGATCGTGGAGAGAGTGAGGTACAGACCGTATGCGACAGCATATGAGAAGATTTCTGCCAGATCCCAGCTGTCTGGAGTGCTCGACGGCAGGACACGGTCAACGGAGAGCGTCATGATGGTACCGTCGTTGAGCAGGGCAATGATCAGGACCATGAACGGCGGGAAGTCAAACTTGAACGCGAAGGCCAGGATAGCGAAGCAGACGACGATACGGATGGTGACAGCGCAAGCGTAGATGGAGTAGTTGCGCATACGTTGGAAGATCACACGGGACCCGCGGATAGCGTGGACGATGGTCGACAAACCGGGCTCCGTCAAGACGATATCGGCAGCACCACGGGCGGCATCAGTGGCACCTTCGACGGCAATACCGACGTTGGCACGGGAGAGAGCAGGCGCGTCGTTGGCACCGTCACCAGTCATGGCGACCAAGTGACCGAGGCCTTGGAGGCGCTTGACGATCTCGTACTTGTGCTCGGGGAACACACCGGCGAAACCGTCTGCGTCGAGGATCATCTCGTCGAGGGAAGCGTGCTTGCCACCAACCTCAGGTCCGTCCTTGAGCACCTTAGCGGGGTACATGTGGTCGCCAAGACCGAGACGACGGCCAGTCTCCTTCGCAATAGCGAGCTGGTCACCGGTAACCATCTTGACCTTCACACCGAGAAGCATGGCATCGTCAATGGTCTGTTTGGTGTCGGTACGGGGAGGGTCGAAGATGGGGAGGAGACCGATGAGCTCGAAGCCGTTGCCCTCGCCCTCATAGTCGTCGCCGTCAAGCTCCTCATAGGCCACAGCGAGCGCACGCAGACCACGCATAGCGAACTCCTCAACGTCAGCCTCGAGCTTGTTCTCCTGCTCCTCTGTCTTGTTGCGCGTACAAAGCTCGATGATGATACCGGTCATGCCCTTCGTAACACGCTTGAGACGTCCAGTAGACTCCTCGCGGTAGGTGATCTCCGTGCGCTTGTCGACGGGGTTGAACGGCTTAAAGTCAAGAAGCTTGACACCGGCGCGAGCACGGGTAGTGTCGCCAAGGGCGCCAACAACACAAGCGTCGATCGCGTCTTGGTTCTCGGTACGCGACGCATAGGCCGCCAAGAGGATGACATCCTCCGCGGAGAAGGGGCCGTAGGTACGGATCGTCTCACGATCGATCGTAAGCTTGTTCGTGGTAAGCGTGCCGGTCTTGTCGGAGCAGAGGATAGTGACGGCGGCGAGCTCTTCAATCGCCGTGATACGAGTGACGATGGCCTTGTACTTGGCGAGCTGCTGAGCACCGACAGCGAGGGTGACGGACAGGACAGTGGGCATAGCAATGGGAATACCACCGATCAGGAGCACGAGGATGTCGTTGAGACCACGACGGTAGTTGTAGCGGAAACCGGCGTACAAACAGAAGATCTCAGCGATGACGAAGATACCGATAGAGATGAGGCAGAATGAACCGATCTGAGCAAGGATCTTCTGCAAGTGACCGGTGGTATCGTCGTCCTGACCAACGAGCGAAGCAGCACGACCGAAGAACGTGTTGGGACCGGTAGAAATGACGACGCCTTCAGCTTCACCTTGCTTGCAAGTGGAACCACTGTGCGCATACAGTCAGTTCAGCGGCACGAGATACGAGGAGACAACCACTTACGAGAAGCACTGGTCGCCAGCTTTCTTGCTCTGGGGCAGAGATTCACCGGTGAGGGCAGCCTGGTCGATCGACACATTGATGGCCTCCGTCAAACGGCAGTCAGCGGGGACGATATCACCAATCTTGAAGGAAACCATGTCGCCGGGCACGAGCCCAGAAGACTCGATCTCCTTCCACTGTCCAGCACGCCTAACCTTAGCCTTGGGAGCGAGGGAATCCATGAGCGCCTTGACAGCGTTACCAGCGTTACGCTCTTCGTAGAAACCGATGCCAGAGTTGACGAAGAGAAGAAGGACGATACCAACAAAGTCCTCCCAGTCTGGAGGCTGATGCTCGCCGTTGGACAGGACGATGGCCACAAGCGCGGCACCTTCCATGACCCAGGAAAGCGGGTTCCACATGAACGAGAGGAACTGATGCTATTGTGAGAATGGAACGGGAAACAACACGGACAAGTACAAACCTGGAGGAATGCATTCTGTTCCTCACTCTCGAGCTTGTTGGGGCCGAACAACTCCAGACGCCGTAGGGCCTCTTCCTCAGTCAGACCAGCATCGTCGCACTGGAGGAGCTTGAAGACGTCCTCCACGACGATAGTCTCTAGGTCAACCTTTTCTTTGTCGTAGAGATCCTCCGCACGCAATTGAATTTGCGACATGTCCACCTTGGCGTCTGCGTGGTGGCGTCCGACTTAAACCATGACATGCAGCACGACGGAAGCCCAGTACTCACGCGTAGCCTCTTCCACATCGTGTCCGAAATCCTTGTACTCTCTCTTGCGCTTCTCGGGCTCCGCGGTAGGAGTGTCCGGTTGGCTGGTATCTTTGACCGGCTCTGTCGAGCCAGCCACCTTCTCATTTGGATCCGACATGAGGAAGGGTAGACGGTGGGTGGGGAGGAGGGTGGACGAGTAGGGAAGACCCCAACGATGTCGAGCGAGTTCGCTAGAGCGAAAGCGGAGAGAC